AAAAATATTTTTAAAATTTCACGTTAATGAAAATCTTTGAAAAAAAAATATTTTTAAAAATTCACGTTAATGAAAATCTTTGAAAAAAAATATTTTTTAAATTTCACGTTAATGAAAATCTTTGAAAAAAAAAAATATTTTTAAAAATTCACGTTAATGAAAATCATTGAAAAAATATTTTTAAAAATCCACGTTAATGGAAATCTTTGAAAAAATTATTTTTAAAAATTCACGTTAATGGAAATCTTTGAAAAAAAATATCTTTAAAAATTCACGTTTATATGGAAATCTTTGAAAAAAATATTTTTAAAAATTAACGTTTATGGAAATCATTGAAAAAAATATTTTTAAAAATCCACGTTTATGGAAATCTTTGAAAAAAATATTTTTAAAAATCCACGTTTATGGAAATCTTTGAAAAAAATATTTTTAAAAATCCACGTTTATGGAAATCTTTGAGAAAAAAATGTTTTTTTAAAAATTCACGTTTGTGGAAATCTTTGAAAAAAAATATTTTTAAATATCCACGTTTTTGGAAATCTTTGAAAAAAAAATATTTTTAAAAATCCACGTTTATGGAAATCTTTGAAAAGAAATATTTTTAAAAATCCACTTTTATGGAAATCTTTGAAAAAAATATTTTTAAAAATTCACGTTTATAGAAATCTTTGAAAAAAATTTTTTAAAAATCCATGTTTATGGAAATCTTTGAAAAAACAATACTATTCAAAATCCACGTTTCTAAAAATCCTAAAAAAATATTTTAAAAATATCCTCGTACTTAAAGCCAATGGTATGTCTCATACATCTATCTTTAAGCTCTTTTTCTATATGTATCAAAAAGCATGGCGTAAATTTTTAAGTGTTAACCACACGCAAAGGTTAACTGGGCTATTGAAATAAAAATAAAAAACAAAAAAATAATATAATATGTCTCACATACACAACGACAACACCCAACCAACAAGTCTGTCGGTTTCGTTATCCATCACATTAGAGCGCCTAAAGCTATGCAATATATAGTAGACGTGAAAAACAAAAGCATTTGACACAGCCATATAAATTGTTTATGCCTGTATCTTGATTTTATATTTCCCTCTTTTTTGTTTCTGTTTTTGTTAGTTAAACAAAGAATTTATGGTGGATCAAATAAAAGGGGATTATTTTAGTTATTTATTTATGCATACTTTTAGGCGCCGCATTAAATGGATTTTACTGCCACGCTTTTTTTTCTGGTGTTCAATTGGATGGAATATGAAATTATAAATGATTTCATTTCTATTCCTTAACCTTAATTAAACTGCTTTCCGGAGGAGACCGAAACAGTTATCCTTCAACCTGCCATTTGACCCCATTGCGTGTCCATCAAAGCCCTGTATTTCACTGGAAATCCCCTGCCATAGAAGATTTTCGTCTTTTCTCTACAGACATTCATTAAAAACTTCAACACTCTTAATGAGTTTTTGTTTTAAACAAAACCCATAAAAAAGCACTGATTACTTCTTTGCCAAACCAAGCAGGCAGCTAGGTAGTGGTAGGAGAAATTTCCCTTTCCTGACATGGCTCCTCAAGGCAAATAAATATTTATTGATAAGGGTGCGGTTGTTTTTCCTCCATTCCAAAAAGCATTTACCAAACTACTTCAAACGGAAGTTCTCGGATGATGGAATTTTGTGCAAAACAAAGTTTGTTTTTTTACCCAGAAATTGCGGTTTAACTCATTTGAAATGTTTGACAAGTCAGCAGGCTGGCAAATGGGTGGATGGGCTGGCATGGAAGGTCTACGAATTATGGTAATGAACTGTAGACTCTTTTTCTAAATTGGAATACAGAAAGGAGAAGAACTAAAAACACCAACAACAACGTCATGAAGAGAGTTTTATGGAAATGAAAATTCAGGGGAATTCATATGTGAATAAAACCATTAGCTAGGAAAAAACGAGTTGAGCAGGCAATTTAAAAATATTTCAAGTAAATGGCCAAGGGACTCTTTTTTGATAAAAAAAAATGTTTAAAAAATTGACAGTTTTTAAGGACATGATTTTAAGAAGATCGCTACTTATAGTTTTGAATGTCCTTTGAAAAATTCTCAAACCTCCTTAGGAAATTGACTATGGCTCTGAAAGCACTTTAGGACAAAATTCAATTTTTTTCAATAATTGTGGGGGAAGTCTAGCAGATTATGAAAGTATAGCTAAAAATCGGTGTTTCTAGAAAAAAATATGTTTAAAAATTCCACGCCTATGGCTTTGAAAGTCCTTGAAAGAATATGTTTAAATACAGAGTGAGATAAAAAACAGCCGCAAAGTCAAACGCCATAATTTTTACATTTTTTTTTTTAAATTTTATTGAATAAAAGCAAAGAATATCGGAAATAGCATCAAATTTTAGAATAAGTTTAGATCTGTTCGAATTGGTCACCTTTGGCACGAATTATGGCCTTCAAACTGCCAATGAAACCGTCACACGCTACCCGAATGTTGCCCTGCGGTATTTCGGCCCATTCCCGGCGAAGCGCTTGCTTGAGGTGATCAACACTTTGGTATACACTATTTATCTTTAGTGCCAACCTTGTTTCCAAAAAACTCCAGACACAATTTGGTCCTAATATATAATATTCGGCATTTATTCTGATGTCACGGTCGATTAATACGAGTGGAGAGCGACCATCGGCTGTTATGGCGGCCCACACCATCACCATGGCGGGCGCTTGAGTTCTTCTGGTAACCAACTGAAGGTGCACATTTTCAGCTGACCTCTTTGGCAAGTGAACACGATCATTTTGTTTGTTTACAAACTGTTGGGCAACGAATGTTTTCTCATCGGAGAAAACTAAATTCGGCAGTTCACACTCTCGGCCAAGCGAAGCAATTCTTTAGCTCTTTTGAGTTTTTTTCTTTCTGTTGCGGTGTAAGTTCTTGTACTTTTTGGAATTTCAATGGCTTTACCCCAAGCTCATTTTTCAATATGTGCCGAATGGAATCTTGCGATATGTTCAGCTCACGAGCAATTTTTCGGCCACTGCGACGCGGGTTTCGATCAAGTCGTTTCGAACCGTTTACTTTTCGAACTATTTCTGCTGATGTTGCTGTTTTCTTGCGTCCATTTCCTTGACGTCGGGCTACGCTACCAGTATCACGGTAACGAGCGATGGTATGAGACACAAGAGATTTATTACATTTAAATGCTGGAGTGCTCTAACGATAGCCACTTTCGGTTTTCCAGCGAAATATAAAGAAATCACACTATCACGCTTGAATTCCATCACGAATATCTTTTTTCTGGAAAATTCTCACCAAATTGCTTTTGTACGCTTGTTAACAATATAATGAGCTGTCACTGGAATAATTTTCACAGCTGTCGGACGATTGGCTTAGAAATGACAGCAGTCTGAATTTGGTTGCAGTTTTTTCATCTCACCCTGTATGTTTAAAAAATCCACGTTTCTAGCTCTGATAGTCCTTCAGAGAATATGTTTAAAAAATCCACGTTTCTAGCTCTGATAGTCCTTCAGAGAATATGTTTAAAAAATCCACGTTTCTAGCTCTGATAGTCCTTCAGAGAATATGTTTAAAAAATCCACGTTTCTAGCTCTGATAGTCCTTCAGAGAATATGTTTAAAAAATCCACGTTTCTAGCTTTGATAGTCCTTCAGAGAATATGTTTAAAAAATCCACGTTTCTAGCTCTGATAGTCCTTCAGAGAATATGTTTAAAAAATCCACGTTTCTAGCTCTGATAGTCCTTGAGAAAAAAATGTTTAAAATATCTACGTTTCTAGCTCTGATAGTCCTTGAGAAAATATGTTTAAAAAATCCACGTTTCTAGCTCTGCCCATCCTTGAAAAAATATGTTTAAAAAATCCACGTTTCTAGCTCTGATAGTCCTTGAGAAAATATGTTTAAGAAATCCACGTTTCTAACTCCGATAGTCTATGAGAAAATATATTTAAGAAATCTACGTTTCTAGCTCTTATAGCCCTTGAGAAAATATGTTTATAAAATCCACGTTCCAGAAAATATATTTAAAAAAATCAACGTTTGTAGCTCCGATAGTTCTTGAGAAAATATGTTTAAAAATCTAGGCCTATGGATCTTAAAAAATCCCCGTTTCCAGCTCTAATAGTCCTTGAGAAAATATGTTTAAAAATCCAGGCCTACGTATTTGCTAGTCCAATCCACGCCTATAACTCTGATAGTCCTTTAAAAATGTGTTTCAAAAGTCTACGCCTACGCCTCTGATAGTTTTCGAAAATATGTTTAAAAATCACGTTTCTAGCTCTGATAGTCCTTGAGACTAAAAATCACGTTTCTAGCACTGGTAGTCCTTAGGAAAATCGTTTTTAAAATCCACGCCAATAGCTGGCTCAGATTTTCACAACCAATACAATTTTTATTTTTTAAGGTTTAAATTAAAAGGATATCCAAAAGGACTTGACTCCGTTGATTCAATTAAAACTCCTTATTTGATAACATTTCTGTGTCCTCGTCCTCCTTTTTCTATTGAATTTTAATTAACACTCTTGTCTTTTTCTCCTTCTCTTCCTTTTTTCAATAGATTTAATGCCACATAGTGTCATGTGAAAGACATGTCCTGTCTGCCAACCACAAGGATATAGGAAAAACATCAAGTGAAGGAAAATCCAATTCAATGACCATCAATGCTCCATGACAACAACAACAACGAAACATCGTATAATGGCAACAATGTTGTGGTGGTGTCTGCCAACATAATATCCAAGGATAAGCCAGCAGAAAAAGAAACTTCATACAACTCCTTGTCATTCAATTGGAAGATCGCCTAACACTCGTCTATCCTTTTCACAATAACAACAACGACAACGAACAACAAAATTCATATCATCCAACCCATTCAAGTTTTCCAAAGCGTTGTGCAAACTTATCCTCGAAGTTTTTTTTTTCCTTTTAACAAAAACGACAGCAACAAAATTGTTTTTAAACAAAAATATTCAATTAATTTTTTAATGTTTTTTCATTTAAGTGAACATTTTTTTAAAAAACAAAACAACAACGATTTTAATTAGTGGAAGAAGAATTTTAAAATAAAATTATTATCAGATCCCCCGTCTCTTCCCCAACCCAAAAACCAAGCACCAACCAAAAGTGTTGGCATCTCTTTTTAACCCAGTGTTTTTAACAAATTTAATCTATCAACAACAAGTCTACGTCAAGCAAGTTTCTTTTGTGTGGAAGGGCCTAAGTGCCCTCGGCTATGGCCTTTATGATGAAAAAGAAAAAGTATCGTTTCAATGTCGAAGTACAATTACAAGAACTAGAAAATGTAACGCTTGTCAATGAGGTGCTATTTGCCAAAATCCGTTTGCTGGATGGTGGTTCATTTCAAGAATACAGTAGCAGGTAAGTTCCTGAAAATACTCCCTTTGAAACTGAATTTTCTTATCCTTTCATACCTGTTCTTGTTTACAGGGAGGAAGTACGCAACCATCGCGTAGAATGGAATCGCAGTTTCGAATTTCCCTGCAAAATGTCAGCAAATGCCTCAACGGGGGTCCTCGACCCCTGTTATCTGCGCATTTCCATACGCAAAGAGATGAAGGGTGGCCGTAGTTATTATAAGTTAGGTTTTATTGATTTAAATCTTGCCGAATATGCTGGCGCTGGTTTAACCTCGCGACGATTTCTACTCGAAGGTTACGATTCGAGGCATCGTTTAGATAATTCCATGTTAACTGTATCCATAAAAATGTTAATGTTAAGTGGTGACATATTATTTAAGGCGTGAGTATCAAATACTTTTTCTAAATTCCTAAAAAATATATTTTCCTTATCGTTTTTTGTTTTTGATTCCAGTCCTACACCAAATTTAAAAAATAAACAAAAAACACCCACAGATGATTTGGTCACCGGATCGACGGGTGTTGGTCTGCAATCGCCCACATGTTTAACACCCACATTACCCATTGGGGTAACAACACGTCCTGTATCTGGTATAAGAGATGATGGTAAGTAGAATAATAAAACTAGTACTAGAATATAAAAAAGTAAAACGCATTAAGTTCGACCCTCCACCATAAGGAAAAGAAACCCTTTAAAAATAAAGTTATCGATATTGAATCTTCGTTCCATTTCTGCCCGTGAATTCGGTTGGTAAGATGTCTTCAAAATACCGTAAAGTGGATGATAGCGGGTTTCTGCTGAGTTAAATACCAAATTTGCAAAAAAAAAAAAATAATAAAGACACCTGAATACCAAATATTCGGATGTATCGCCTTATGGGTAATTAAAGAAACTCTACTACCGAATCGTAAACGATTTCCCTGGCTAGAATCATCAATGACGTTCCAATACCGAATGTCGGGAAATATTTTATAATAATACGTGAACCATATGCATGAGATAAAGAAACTGCAACAACGTCAAAAACCATAATTTTTACATTTTTTTTAATTTTATTTAATGAAAGCAGAAAATGTCTGCAATAGCATCAAATTTGAAAACAAGTTTAGATTTGTTCGAATTGGTCACTTTTGGCACGAATTATGGCCTTCAAACGGCCAATGAAACCGTCACACGCTGCCCGAAAGTTGCTCTGCTGTATTTTGGCCTATTCCCGGCGAAGCGCCTGCTTGAGGTGATTGACACATTGGTATTTTTAGTGCCAACCTTGCTTTCCAAAACACTCCGGAGATTTTGATGGCCATTGTGCGCTGGAAATGAAGCGAGGAACCTCATTTTGCACCCATTCTTGGGTGGGCCACGTTTTCATATAGCCCCCATATATAGGTACCTCCCGATATTCGGTATTTTGATGATTTTAGCGACATTATTCACCGGAATTGTTTCAACTTTGCTATTTGAAGTTCGAAATGGATACTACAGTCTATGACAGAAAATTATCTGTGCAGGTCCACGTCTTCGTATAGCCCCCATACAACGGTACCTCCCGATATTCGGTATTTTGATAATTTTAGCGACATTATTCACCGGAATTTTTTCAAATTTGGTATTTGAAGTATGAATAGGATACTACAGCCTATGACCAAAAATTTTCTGTGCAGGTCCACGTCTTCGTATAGCCCCATATGACGGTACCTCCCAAAATTCGGTATTTTGATGATTTTAGCGTCATTATTTACGGATTTGGTTCAAATTACGTATTTAGAGTTCGTAATGGAAACTACAGTCTGTGATAGAAAATTGTCTATGTAGGTACAGGTCTTCGTATAGGCCCCATATATCAGTACCTCCCTATATTCGGTAGGTACAATACCAACCAAAATTTTTTGAGATGTCGTATTTGACGTTCGTAATGGATGCTATAGCCTGTCACAGAAAATTGTCTATGCTGGTCCAGGTCTTCGCACAGCTCCGATATTTTGCTGTTCCTATATACGATATTTTGATGATTTTAGCTACATTATTCACCGTCTATTTTAAGTTTCGAATTTCAATATGGTAATGGCTTATGACAAACAAGGTCTATGTAGGTCCATGCCGTATAGACCCCAATATAACGGCTATATTCGATATTTTTAAAATTTTAACAGAATTTTTTAAGGACTTTATTTTTTGAAAATTTCCAAATTCCTTCCAAATGGTGGGGGGTATTCAAAGTTCGGCCGGGCTTTTTAACTTGTTTCTTTTTGTGTAAGTTCTGGCACTTTTGGGAATTTCAATGGCTTTATTTTTCAATATTTCCCGAATGGAATATTGCGATATGTTCAGCTCACGAGCCATTTTTCGGCCACTGCGACGCGGGTTTCGATCAAGTCGCTTCTTTACTTTTCGAACCATTTCTGCTGATGTTGCTGTTTTCTTCCGTTCACTTTCTTGACGTCGGGCTACGCTACCAGTATCACGGTAACGAGCGATGTTACGAGACACAAAAGATTTATTCACATTTAAATGCTGGAGTCCTCTAACGATAGCCACTTGTGGTTTTCCAGCCAAATATAAAAAAATCACAATATCACGCTTGAATTCCATCACGAATAAATTTTTTTCTGGAAAATTCTCACTTTTTTCTGGAAAATCCTCAATTCTGTACGCTTGTAAATAATATAATGAGCTGTCACTGGAATAATTTTAACAGCTGTCGGACGAGTGGCTTAGAATTGACAGCAGTCTGAAGTTTTTTCATCTCACCCTGTACTTCTTTTCGATTTATGAATAGATTCAACTTACCCATTTTGAAAGCTTCTTCCCTATATAGCGGCTAGTTTGAAGTTTTGATATTACTCTGTGTAAAATCTTAAACTTCATATATTTTTCCTTTCCAGAGGCCTGTTGGGCGTTTCTGACCAAATTACACTATTAGACCTAATTAATATCCTAGCATTTTGATTAGGGGAAAATAAATAATACTCGTCAACTCACCATAGACCAAAAATATACAACCAATTATGGGTGTAGACCTCAGCTTCTATTTCCACAATAGTTTTCGTTGATGAATAAAGGATGATGCAAATTTTTATAGCAGCTCCTAGAAGTAGGCCTCACAAATTTTAAAAATTGTTATTTTTGAATAGATTAACAAAATTGTTTGCATAAGGCCCATTTCCACATCATGGTGGAGTCATATGTAAAGTGATTTTTTCACATTTGTAGCAGACTTGAAATTTAATCGACATTATATTTTATATGTATATTACACCTATACAACGGATATTTAAATATTTTATACACTACAAAGCATCTCCTTTAGGATAATACATTGGTGAAGCGCCTAAAAGTATGTTCCAAAAATGCCTTTATATATGACTAAAAGTGACTTTATATATGACTAACATTATGTGTATAATTGCCTTTATTTTCCCTTACATTTCCATCCATTTTGATCTTCTTTCTTTTCTTACAGATTCAGATCCCCAACATGTAATAGCTTCCATTGTTACCGATTCTGGACATTCTGAATCATCAGAATCTGCCATTACACTAACATCCGATGCGTTATTCATGCAACAGCAGCAATTACAACAGCAGCAGCAGCAGTTGCAACTGCAGCAACAACAACAGTCGCAGCAGCAGCAACAACAAAACAATCAACAGCATTTGCCATCATCTTCCTACCCACCACCACCATCATCATCATCATCTGTTGCAACTCTAGTTCCAGGTGTTTCACTAACGAATGCACAACAAACCTATGGTGGCATTGGTGGTACGGGTGGCAGTGGTGGTGGTGGTGGCGGCGTTGGTAGTGGTGGTGGTCTTTCGGGCAGTATTGGTGGTGGTGGCAGCATTGGTGTTGGTATTATTGGCAGCAATAATTGTGGCACCACCACAACAACATCATCGATTGGCGGGGTAGGAGGTTTAACGACATCGGGTGCCACAGTTCCAGGCCTAGAAATGGGTCATTCAAGAAATTCCAGTAATACTAGTCAAGTAAGTTGGTCAAAGGATATTTACGAACGTTTTAGTATGAATCAAAGGGTTTGGAGGGAGTTCTAACCTACTTCTTCTAAGCAATGGTTTGGTAGTAAGTCCCAATTTACACGTTGAAAGTTTATCACAATTAAAAGTGTGTGTTGCTGGAAAAAGGTAAATATCTGGTCTGTTCCAAAACTGCAAGAATTTAAAAGTTTTCACTACGATAACCGATTTTCCCTTTATGATATCGAGAAAAAATGAAAAACTAGTAGATGGTTAGGTTAGGTTAAAGGATGCGCGATTGTATAAACCATTACTCAGATCCGCGTCTGGCCAAATCATCAGCCGGTTCATGCCCACCAACAGAGTTTGACAAACGATTTAACCTTTTCCAGAGCATTCCTGCATTCCAGAACTGCCATAGATTTAATTGTAAATGAATTTAGAGCCTTCAGGGCCGCTTGACTATTGACATATATAGTCACCAGTTCATTGATTCTATTTGCCTGCAGCTTTATGGCCTTCCTGACAGCAAAAATTTCTGCCTGAAAAACGCTACAGTCGTTGTTTAGTTTGAAGGATCGTTGGATACTTTCACTGTAGACTCCAGCTCCCGTTCCACTTTCCATCTTTGACTGATCAGTATAGACAGCTATACCGTTAAAAGGTGGAGTGTCGCGGGTCCAGATGTCTCTGTTGGGTATATGGATATCAAGTAATTCAAAGCTGTGCCTAGGTGATATATAATCGCTAGCTATAGCATAATTTCCTATGCTTTCCACATACTTGAGAATGACGTAGTGTCCAAAGGGCTGACTCCGCCATTGTCGCAGGGCACACCCAGCAGCTTGTTCCTCTACAAATAAACCTAACGGTTTGAGATGTTGTAGGGTGTCTAGTGCGGATTGGGGTGTGCTCCTAAACGCGCCTGTAATTAGTAGCGATGCAACTCTTTGGACTTTATCAATGCTTTTACTGAAGATTGTGTTCCCTAAGGAGTGCCACCAAACAAGCCTCCCATGGGTTAGAATTGGTCGGACAGTCGTTCTCATATAACCATTTGATTATGTGAAGCTTGAGTCCCCAGCTTTTTCCTATGGAGTTTTTTCAGGAATAAAGTGCAATAAAGCCCTTCTTCGCTCGCTCCTCGATGTTCCTCTTCCAGCTCAGTTTCTGGTCTATGATGGTACCGAGATATTTGGCTTCCGAAACTTAGTCTTAGCATAACACCATCAAGTCTGGAATTTCCACTTCCTTGTAAAGAGTACGAGCTCAGTTTTTGATGGGTTCACGCCAGTCCATTGCAGCGTGCCCATCTGGAGAGTTTAACTAGAGCTCCCTGCATAAGATCTGAAACAGTTAGCGGGAATTTCCCAGCAATCAGCAAGACGACATCATCGGCGAAACCACGACCTTTGTTCCACCGTGTTCCAGTTCGATTAGAAAGTCATTTATCACCAAAAGCCAGAGTAGTGGTTACAGAACCCCTCCTTGCGGGGTGCCCCTAGTGACCGTTTTCCTAACAGAACACTCCCCGATGCTTGAGTTGATGATTCTGCTGCTGAGCATAACATCAATCCAGTCAACTAGGAGTAGTGAAAAAAACTACTAAATTTTTGCAGGTTCTGGAACCGACCAATAACTTTTCCTTTTTTATACGATCCACCATACTATATTAACTTTGTGGTTCCGTTTATAACTCTTCGAAATACTTATACCAGACCCAACAAATTGTATATATTCTTGATCAGCGTAAAATTCTAAGTCGATTTAGCGATGTTCGTCTGCCTGTCTCTTGTAATTATACTATCTTTCGAACGGATTGAGATAGAAGGCTAAAATTTTGCACACGTATTTATTTTGCCAGCAGGCAGGTTAAATTCGTAAATGGGCCATGTAGTAGTCCCCATATAACAGACAGAAAATTGTCTGTGCAGATCCACGTCTTTATATAGGCCCCATATAACGGTACCTCCCAATATTCGGTATTTTGACGATTTTAGCGTCATTATTCACCGGAGTAGTTTCAAGTTACGTATATAGAGTTCGTAATGGATACTACAGCCTATGATAGAAAATTGTCTGTGCAGATCCACGTCTTCATATAACCCCCACATAACGGTACCTCCCAATATTCGGTATTTTGACGTCATTATGCACCGGAGTAGTTTCAAATTGCATATTTAGAGTTCATAATGGAAACTACAGTCTGTGACAGATAATTGAGTATACAGGTCGACGTCTTCGTATAGGACCCATATATCAGTACCTACCTATATTCGGTATTTTCACGATTTTAGGTACAATACTCACCGAAATTGTTTGAGATGTCGTATTTGAAGTTCGTAATGGATGCTACAGCCTATGACAGAAAATTGTCCGTACAGGTCCCCGTTTTGGTATAGCCCCCATATAACGGTACCTCCCTATATTCGGTATTTGGATAATTTTAACTACATTACCACCGTTTATTTCAAGTTTCGAATTTGAATATGGTAATGGCTTATGACAAACAAAACCTATGTAGGTTCACGTCGTAGAAACCCCAATATAACGGCTATATTCGGTATTTTTAAGATTTTAACAGAATTTTTACCTTTTTTATTTTTTTTTTTAATTTCCAAAGTCGGTCCAAATAGTGGAGGGTATTCGAAGTTCGGCCCGGTCGAACTTACTGCTTATTAATTTGTCCTTTTTCCTCTTTTTCCAAGACTCAATTTTCTCTAATCCAAATTTTCTTTGTGTAAATTTTGGCTAACACACAAATAGTTTTCATTTTGGAATGTTTTAAAGTCGTTTTAATATTCTTAGTCCTGCCTTTTTAATAAACATTTCTAATTCTTTTTTTCTCCCACCCATTATAGATGTCAAAAGGTTCCGGTTACAGTAGTTTTTCGCACAGTCAGCATTCTCGTCAAAGTTCTGAGGGTGACTCAGGGCATGCAAGGTAAGCATTGGAAGTTCCATTCCATTATAGCTAAAAAAAAACTATTCCCCACTTAAGTTATATGATTTATTTTTGAAACAAATAGATTATTTAGTATTTTATGTTTCTTTATAGTCATATTTTTCTTTAGTTTTCTGTAGACTATTTTCTTATATAGACAAAACGTTTTACTTTCTTTCCAATTTTTTTTTGCTATGCTTTGGAAGCAAAAAAGCAATAAAAAAAAGAAAACTACAAATCCAAAGAAAGCTAAAAGGGAAACAGGCTCTGTTTCCCCCAACCAAATAAATTTTGTTTAGTTTCTATTTTCTTTTTTCTGTTTCTTCTACTTAAATTCGAAAATCATTCGCAAAACAATAATACAAAACAGCCGACTCTTTACCCCACACTTTTGTACATAAATTACAAAACAGAAACCTAACAGCATAAACAGGAATGTACTAAAACCAAATATTAACCTGATGTGTACTAAAAAGACAACAACTACACAGTCATAAGTTTCTAGACTTTTTGGACACAAGACACACTGCCTTCTAAACATTTTACTAACGAGAATTTTTAAACTCTATCATCAACAACATCAACATATGTCTTCTCTTAATGCCTCTTTTTAACAAAAACTTAAACAAATTAGTTGCCGTAAATAAACATTGAATGTTTATTAAAAAAATATATATTTATATATGTGAATTTTTTGTAAAAGTAAATTAACTTGTTGTAAGACTACTATTTTTTGCTCTAGGTTATATAAATATATTCCTATATTTTAGTAGAAATCCTTAAACAAATTAACAAAATGTTTTAAAAAACTGTTTCTTTGTGCAAGGTTCGTGTTTTTACATTTAGAATTGAAAATTTTTGCTAAATTAAATTTTTGGTTGTAACGAAATTTTTAAAAAGTTAATAAATGATGGATATTTTTGTTATTTTTAGAAGTTTTCTCCAGAAGAACATTAAGGATTGTTTAAAAAGTTTTACACTGCCACCTATTTGTGATGGGTTTAAAGAAAGCGAAATAAGTCTCTCTCCAATACTTAGTATTTACTTTTGAAAGAATTTCTGTATTTTCATAAAATGATTTCAGAAATTTGTATCTAGATCCTGTTAAATATCGACCAAAACAAGGGTTCTTTTAAAATGGAATTTTAAAATAATTCCCTCTCTAATGCTTAACTGTAGAAGGCTTCTTCTTTGGATTGGAAAGAAATGTCTGTATTTTAACGCAATGGTATCACAAATCTGTGCCTAGGCCCTGTTAAATACCGACCTAACGATAAAAAATCCAGTTGTGTCTACTTGTAATGGGTTGTTTTAAAATGGAATTTCAAAATAATTCCCTCTCCAATGTTTAAATTTTCTTTGTGACACCAAATCATGTCTAATAGAACCGGCATTGGCATTTCCCTTGCATTTCTCTAGAAGAAATAAAATTCTAAGCTAAAGGTCGTGGTTGTTTTAGCAACCAGAATTCCACATTCCTTTCGATTTGCCAAGACCTCTCCACATGTTTTCTCCTTTTCCCATTTTGTATCACTGTTGGGTGTTACTGACCAAATTTCACTTTTAGACCTATGATCAATAGGATCAATGGGTGTGTATGTGGGTTTGGCATATTTGCAAAAAACCTGACTCTACAAGGTGTCTGTTCAACTCATTTTGGAATTCTGTATCTATAACAGAGGGCATTGTCTCTCCCTCTTGTAAATGGACTGCTTAACTGTGATTATTAATTTGATTCTGCTTTTTATTCAAAACGGTCAAAAACGATATTCTGTTGCCCCTCAGGGCGCGGTCTCTAAGGATTGACCGTGCGCTGGGCAGACGTTCCGCACACCATCTTGAGCGTAGTTGAGCCAAAAATACCCTGGTTCGTCTAGACAGACGAGGTCCTTCGGCTGCAATGATTTGGGGGTGAGGATGACATTCATACTGAAATGGTAACTACATCTTCGAATGCATCAGTATGAATGCTACTCAGACCTGCCTGGTAGTCTTCATGATCTAAAGTCTCCCTCTTGTATCGTTAGCACGCCTGACTGTCCACCATTTGTGGTTAGGGTGACTCACACATCTTAATCTTGAGGGTACTTTATGATTATTGATGCCCCTCAACCTGGACATTCTCTTTATCCCGCGTGTGCTAAGGATCAATTGCCACGATATGGTGATGGATATTTTTCTCCAGGGATTATATAACGTTTTAAACGTGACCAGAGCGTAGTTTTCTCTACATCCTCAAATGTCAAACGTTGGACTTACAAAAGTATAGAATTTAGAAGACTTTGGTTTCGGTTAGCCGGTTTGGGACATACCCAGAGGAGAAAATCTCAAGCCTCGGTCGAGGGCCGCCTACTCACAAAAAGTATCAAATTTAGAAAACTTTGGTTCGCGTTAGCCGTTGTGGGACACATCGAGAGAAGAAAATCTCAAGACCCGGCCGGAGGCCGTCTTCTTACGAAAAGTGTAAAAATTTAGAAAACTTTGGTTCGCATTAGCCGTTGTACCCCTCGTACCCAGAGGAGAAAATCTCAAGACCCGGCCGAAGGCCTGCTACTTGTTAAACAACAAACAATTGTTAAATTTAGAAAAACTTTAGTTTGTGCAGCCGATTGAACATACACAGAGGAGAATATGTCTGGACCCGAAAAAGGTATTAGCACAAATTGTAGCATTTTGGAAAGGTAAGAGTGCCAGCTATAATTTGGCATAAACTTTGTTGACTCCCATAATGGGCCCTTTTTCGACTTTCTGGGGGTTTCCCAAAAAATCGATAATTTGGCTATAACTTCCGGACGGCTTAAAAGAATCCCATGATGTGACCACTTGCTGGATAGGTATTTTCATAAGCTTTCAAGTGATATTGTATGGGGTAAGTTGGTCCGGGTCCTGAGCCCGGACTCTCGGATCAAAAATCTTGGATCAGGGGTCCCAGGTCCGTCCCCCAAGAAAAAATAGTTTCCCGGAATCCGGGTAAAAATACCTACCTCTGGAAAATTTTTCGAAAAAATCTGAGAGCTTTTACTAAACTGGGGTTGTTCCAAAATCGATATCGACTTTGATTTTAAAGACCAGAATCGAATTCCATTTTTAACAGATTGACTATAAGACTTGCCCAAAAGAGCGACCGTCAGAATTTCTATAATCAAATAATCTATTTATGGAGACAATTTTAGAAAAAAGGTTTTTATGCAAGAGAAATGGCGGGTTTCCAAGTAGTGTCATTTACCACAACTGGTGACAATATAAAAAATATCCATAATTTATTATTAATTAATATTTTTATTTATATTGGCTTTTTTGAATAATTGTTATTTTTTATTGGCTAGATTCTTGTTTTTTTATTGGCTAAAATTCTTTCTTCTATATTCAAACTATTCCGTCTTTTCCTAGTTTTTTCATTTCCGAAAGTTTAAGGTCGCATATTTGCTCCAATTATTATTATTTTTTTCCGAAGCTTCTGCTTGTAATCTGATAATGATGATATTGTAATACGTTGCAGTTTTTCTCAAATTCACTTGATTTTCTGTATTATGCTTTGGCAACCAGTCAAAAATGTAAATTACAAAGTATTTGATGGTGTTCGATTCAATAAGAATGCTGCCTTCCTTTTCTCGCGTCTTTTCCCCCTTTCGTCGTCTTGTTGCCGATAGAAAATGTTGTAAAAGAAAATGTAAATTCTGCGGGTTATTAAAATTTGTTTATGTGCCCCAGTATTTTGTGCTTTGCTTATTATGCGTTTTCTCTAGCACAAGTTTACAGAATCGAATAGAAACGAAAATCCACAAAAATGTTTTTTGAATAATGTGAAAAATATTCAGCAAATTGGCGCCCGAAATTTCTTGGTCTCGGTCTAAGTAAATTCAAAACAAAAAAATAAAATAATAAGATATTGATGATGGTTATGGTTATGGTTTTCATATGTTTAGCAGATTATGATTTATTTTTGTTTGAAAACAAAATTTCAATTGATAGCCAACCATACATTCTTTAAAAAAAAGACAGGAAGAGTGGGTAAGGGGGGAAAACAAATATTCTGACAAAACAACTCAAAATGCTGAAACAAGTGAAATTTTTCTTTTGAAAACAATCATTAACCTCGAATGATGCTCTCACTTGTTTCACACAGCAAATTTATTATTTTAATTTTCAAATATCTTTATCTCCTTACAGGGATTCAAAAACAAAATAAATAAAAGAAGACCTGTTCTTTATAATCTTGAGATTAAATATTAATAAGGTTTTCCTTTTTAGGTTCTTTTTTTAAATTTATTCAAAGAAAATAAAATAATATTTGTGACCTTGAACCAAAACACTCTTTTGCTGGAGGTCTTTGTCAGTATCTTTATTTTTCATATTCTTAATTGAATTCAATCCTAATTGAATAATAAAAACGACCTTGAACCACATGTATTTGCATATTTTCAATGAACAAGCAGTGGAAAGTTTCGTAGGTTTTAGATGTTTTAAAAAGAAATGAGAAAAATTGAAGTTAAGGAATTTGACTACTTGACCCCAAACCTGTAGACGAGCAGAAAAATTGGGGGTTTTCACAAATTGCTTTCAAGGCAGTCATCATCTCAAGTAATAAAGGGTGTCTTTTTAAAAACATAGACTACACCTTCATAGACTATGTTTTATAAAGGACAATTTTCTAAAAAAGATGAAGGTAGTCCTCTTTTATATAAAACATAGTCTTTGAAATCTTTAAATGAATAGATATCAAGGTCGATCAAATTAAATTTTACTAAAATGCCTCTATGGTAACCTTTTCGACTCCGAGTAGGTCTTCATAAAAAATTGTCTCTATGTCCGGATATCTTCAGAATATTGCTTTAAGGCTGTCCTTCTCCTACAGAATTAGATTTAGTCCTTTTTTTTCTAGAAAAGGTTGTGAAATTATATTTAATCCCAACAACTGTTAAGTTGCCAAAGACTAAACTCTAAAATAGTTAAAGACAACTATATACAGCAGAAAGGTCATATTCTTTGGTAAAATGATTTTCCTCCCTTTAATTGGAGTCCCTTCTCTTGGAAGGAACCTGGGTTTTTCTCAAAGAAGTTCGTGCTATCTTCGTAAAAAAGTTTTCTTATTGAAGGGCTGTAGGTGTTCTCAGAGAAGATTTGTAGGACTTCTCATTTAAGAGCTGCAGGTCTTCTCAAAGAAGAGTTGTTGGTCTTCCCATTTAAAATCTGTAGGACTTCTCAGGGAAGAGTTATACGTCTTCTCAGAGAAGAGTTGTAGGTCTTCTCAGAAAAGAGCTGTAGGTCTTCTCAGAGAAGAGTTATAGGTCTTCTCAGAAAAGAGCTATAGGTCTTCTCATAGAAGAATTGTAGGTCTTCTCAGAAAAGAGTTAAACGTTTTCTCAGAAAAGAGATGTAGGCCATCTCAGAAAAGAGCTGTAAGGCTTCTCAGGGAAGAGCTAGCGATCTTCTCAGGGATGAGCTGGAGATCTTCTCAGAGAAGATCAGGAGATCTTCATATTTTTTTCATCAAATGATTTGCCTCCCTTTCATTGAAGTGCTCTTGATCTTCTCACAGAATTGCTGTAGGTCTTCTCTTGGAAGAAACCTGGGTTTCTTCTTATAGAAGTTCGTGCGGTCTTAAAAAGTTTTCTCAGAGAAGGCCTTCTCAGAGAAGAGCTGTAGGTCTTCCCAGAAAAGAGTTGTAGGTCTTCTCATTTAAGAGTTGTAGGTCCTCTCATTTAAGAGCTGAAGTTCGTCTCAGAGAAGAGTTGAAGGTCTTTTCAGAAAAGAAGAGCTGGAGATCCTCTTAGAGAAGAGCTGTAGATCTTCTCAGAGAAGAGTTGTAGATCTTCTCAGAGAAGAGTTGTAGGTCTTCTCAGAGAAGAGTTGTAGGTCTTCTCAGAAAAGAGTTGTAGGTCTTCTAAGAGAAGAACTGGAGCAAGAGCAAGATCTTCTCAAAGAAGAGCCTGAGATCTTTTCAGAGAAGAGCTGGAGATCTTCTCAAAGAAGAGCCTGAGATCTTCTCAGAGAAGAGCTGGAGATTTTCTCAGAGAAAAGCTAAAGATCTCCTCAGAGAAAAGCTATAGATCTTCTCAGAGAAGAGCTGGAGATCTGGATGATTTCTCGCAGAAGACTTGGAGCTCGTCTTCTAAAGGAAGACTTGGTCGTAGCCTTTTAATACAAAACTTCAAGGCTTCGAATCAAGTAGATGACCCCGATTGTTCTCTGCTCTACAGTAAATTAGCTCGAATATGACATTCTCACTACAGATAACCTCAGTTGGCCTCTACTGTAGAGTCTATCTACTGTAAAGTTGATGACCGCTGGTGACATCTACTGTAGAGTATATGACCTCCGAGGACATCTACTGTAAAGTTGATGACCTGCAGTAGATTAGATGACCTCCGTTGACATCTACTGTAGATTAGATGACCTCCGTTGACATCTACTGTAGAGTAGATGATCTCCGGTGACATCTACTGTAGAATAGATGGCCACAGGAGACATCTACTGTAGAATAGATGACCACAGGAGACATCTACTGTAGAGTAGTTGACTTCCGGTGACATCTACTGTAGAGCAGGTGTCCACCGGTGACATCTATTGTAGAGTAGATGACCTCCGGTGACAAATACTGTAGAGTAGATGACCACCGGTGACACCTACTGTAGAGTAGATGATCACCGGTGACACCTACTGTAGAGTAGATGACCTCCGGTGACCTCCACTTAAGAGTATATGGCCTCAGCTGGCATCTACTGTAGAATAGATGATCTCAGGTGACATCTTACTGTCCTCGAATATCAACTTCTCTATAGTAGTTGTCAGCAGATATCATTCACTCTATAATAAAAGATTTGGAGTGACCTCGACTAAACGATGTAATCTTTTAAGAACCTGACATTCTTTATGTACAACTTTTATGGATTTCTCTCATAAACATTTTCTTGAAAATTGAGACGAGGCTACCTCGTACCCTACATAAATCAATTATTTTTTATATGGTGGTAGTGTGAATATTTTTTAATTGTTTTTTAAATAATTTTTAACCTTTTCCCCTTCTCTTGTATTGTTTATATATCTCCCCTCTTGGTGGTTTTTTGGATAGCTGAACAAAAAACTTTTTTATATAGTAATCCTTTGTTTATAGTGTTTATATTTTCCTTTTAATTTTTATTATTTCTTAGATTTTAATTTAATTGTTTTATATATTTTTTATTTTATTTTTATTTTTTTACAAATTATTTGTGTTAACAAATAAAAAAACAAAAACAACACCCAAAAAATCCAAACCTTCACTGCACCCAAAAAAAAAAAACAAATAAAAAAATGGTAAATGGTACAAAATCCTCCTTTCCCATATCAAAATCAAACCAAACCATCAATATTCTCTGAACAAATCCGAACAACAACACACTTAGATTCAGCAAATCCGTTTCTCTTCTGAATAGACTTAATCAGAGAGCTATGAATGCTATGCGCTTGCATATATCCACTTTAAAATATCACAATGCCCCGCCAACTATATTGGACACTGGAAGTGGTGGATTGACAACTACGGGTGTTGGAACTGCTGGCGGTGGTGGTTTAATGGGCATTGCTGTGATAAATATCGACGAAAACGATGAATTGGCCTTCCAGACACCCAACTGTTCCGGACGCGAAGATTTCGGAGTGGAAGATTTCCGAACACCTTTGAATGAAATGCCCTCACCACCACCCTTATCGGCCAATTCGGTGTATAGTATGAACTATTTAAACACACCCTCGCCCACATATCGTAGCGTTAATAGCAATAGCCAATATGGCTCACGCGATTCAGATCTCAATCAACGTGGAACCGGTGACAGTGAAAGTGAAACTGCCGATGATTCGGGATTGGATGAGAATTTCCATACACCTCGGGTGGCAAAAATCAAGTCAATGGAGAATCTTTCCATTTTGGAAATGGAATTCCACAAGGCTTCCCAGGAATTGGATCGTAATTCACCGCGACGTCTGAAGCTGCTGGCCGAGAGGGAACGCATGCAAATGCCAAAGATGAAGTCGCTGAACAATCTCTGTTTCGATGATTACTCGGAGGAACAAGTGAGGGCTGAATTCCAGCAGATACGGGAACAACGGTTGGAAGAGAAATATCGCTTCAATTTACAACATCGCAAGAGTTCGACGTCGTCGACAAATTCCGGCAAACTGTTTGTCAAACATACCAAAGTGGGCAATGCCAAGTTCATTGGCAACGAGTACGACTCACCCCAACCGCAACCCCAACCTCCCCCAACCATTGTACATTTTCCCATACAGAAAATGCGCTCAATGGGCACGATACCGGATGTGGTAACGGAACGCATTGAACCGGATCCATTTTTAACACCAACCTCCGGCCGGAGACCGAATTTCCCCCTGGAGACCCAATCGGCCGAGAAAGCTGCTGTGCCAACCTATGCCATGACTCGTCTACTCAACTATGATTGTGTAGATGGAGCCCATACACCACAAAATCATCAATCGCATAGCTCTCTCAATGAGCTATGTCCGCAGGATCGTATGGGTAAATTTATGCTAACCCAACCGGCGGCGGATGCTTCGTTTATGTCACGCACCCCCTTCGAACGGGCCTATCGCCGCACTCTCATGAAAAGTTCAACACCCTTTCGCCAGTCGTTTGGTTTGGCCCAATACAACAGTGAGCTGGTCGGCGCCGAAAATTGTGTTGCAGCGACCAGACATTCCAATCACAATGCCGGCGTTTATGAGTTAATGAGGTTCGTAAATGCTAGAAAAGTCCATACGTTTTTATCCGTATTCTTCTTCATGGTAGTGTTTCAAAACGTTTTGCCTCACGAAAAATTGATTTTTCTTGAAAAATAGATTTTTACGAGTAGTATCAAAATAAGAGAGAGACACGACAGCACACACATTTTCAAATACTCTTAATAATAACACTTAGTTTTATGTATCTCTTTAAGACAAACTTTTGTCATTCTCTTGAACAAATTAGATCAGTGTTTGTTTTTGGGAGAGAGAGAGAGAGAGAGAGAGAGAGAGAGAGAAAGAGAAAGAGAGAGAGAGGGAATTCTTGGTGGCTTTGAATGAAAAGAAAGGCATCACTCAATTAAAAATGAATGATAGCGTGAAGAGAATAAAGAGCTCCATCAGCACCGTTCACAGAGAAAATGGTAAAGGGGGAGAGAAAAAGCCATAGATGGTCAAATTTGCACGCTAGCGTTTGTGTCTCTTTTTCTCTGTTGCAATTGAAACATCAATAAACAGACATAATCGCATTTCCAATAATTGTTTGAAAATCATTAAAAAAGTTAAAATTCGGCACCGGAAAATAATTTTAAAATTCTCTTAGAATTTCGCCCATCTATGATAAAGGATATGCGTTAATTTTAGGTACTTATTTCTGAGCTGGTACCAAAGATCATTGTTGTGGAGTGTATACTACGCATATGAGGGACTTAAAAGCCAAATCGGATAAAACATATATATGAGGGATATAGCTATTCCGATTTTCACAAAATTCGAAGTACTTGTTTCCAGTCGGAATTGTCAAGCCTCAGTTCATTTGGGCTTATACTATATATTTGGTGAACAATAAACCCGATATCGGATATATATGGGAGCTATATCGAAATCTGACCCGATCTCGATAAAATTTGGTAGAGGTATTTTTGATCTAATGCCCGGTATCTAATATCATTTTGTGGAGTGCATATTTCGCATGTGAGAGACTTAAAACCCCAAATCGGATGAAAAATATATATTATATATAATCTGTACTGATTTTCACCAAATTATCTCTGAACCGATTTTCACCAAAGTTGATGAACTTACTTCTAGACAGAATCCGGTGCATTTGGTGCACAGTTAACCCGAAATCGGTTGAAGATTTATGGGAGCTATATCTAAATTTGAATCGATTTTCATCAATGTCAATAGGGTTCGACCGTGGGCCAAACAAATAGTGTTCGGAAATTTTCATCTCAATCGGATAATAATTGCGACCTGCATTTTGTTCCCAAAAATACATGGACAGACGGACGGACCGACGGACAGTGATTCTGTGAAGATCCTCAAAAGTAACTATGGGTCTATCTCGCTTCCTTCTCCATATTACAAACAAATGCACAAAGACATAATACCCTTACTGAAGCTGCTGGCCGAAAGGGAACGCATGCAAATGCCAAAGATGAAGTCGCTGAACAATCTCTTTTTCGATGAAGCGATATTTCTTTTACCACTATGCTGTGTAGGGTATAAAAAGAAGTTTCTCTCATGGAAATTTTATGTAAAGTTATACACTCCCGCAAAAGCACCCCTCTATTGTCAATATATGTCAATGAATTCCAAATGATTTCAAAATGCACCCCTTATTCTCTTAAATCATTTCAATTTCAAACGAATTCAAGATCTCTCCCACTTTTCTTTGAAACACTGTTAAAGATTTCTTTCATTATAAAAGTGTTATAAGCGCCCTCCCTCTTTCTCCCTCTCTCTTTTCTTCTTTTTCATAATATCGTAGATAATAACTAAATTGGCTTATATGGTGTTGGGAGCTTTCGCAATTGTTCTCTCTCTTTGTCTCCTCCTTACTTTCATGTAATTTTAAGGCTTGTATTGGTTAGAAAATATTGTAGCATACTTTTAGGCTAAATATAATACCTAGAAGTCTAATTAATATCCTTGGCTTAGTAACAGCACCTACTAGAACATTCTTTATGGATACAGCACTGACATATATCAATTTACTAACACTGTTTTGAAAGTTGAGTTGTGTTCTTACATCGTTTTTTGATTAACACAGAAAAACGGGTCCTTAAGGTGTTCCACATTTTTTGACCATTGGAGATGATATGATGGTTTAAGTAAAAAATCATTAATGGATTTCCAAATATCTCACTCCTAGAATATTGGCAGAAGTTTTGAAATACGCTAAAAATTACTTCACTTTGTAATGATATCTGAAAAGGCGCCATCTATTTGTATGATAAACAATCATAAGAATTTTGAGGTTTTTATTAAATTTTTGATTAGGGCCCCTATTGAAACAAAGACTTAAGATGTAATGAGACATTTTTAAACCCGTAGCCATATGGCTAAAGACGGTAAATATAATTTGATGTGGCTAAAACGTGCCTCATCTAAATAAAGGTTTTAGACCCTAGGTCTCTTTGGACGATGTCCGTCCGTCTGTCTGGCTGATGTGCACGATAACTCTTGAAGAGAGTATTTGATTTCATCCGAACTTGTTACATCGTAATATTATTGTCAAACTTATATCAAGCTCGAAGATGGGCAATATCGGTTCACTTCTTTTGATACCTCCCCCCAAAAATATCAAGATTTTCGAAGACAATAATTAACTGCACAGTAAGATGAAGGATAGTCCGATTTTGCTCCAACTTTGCAAATCCTAATATTTGCATCAGTACTAGGTCATGTGGAGAATATCGATCCACTCGATCAAGTACCTCTCCCACAAAAGGCCAAAATTTTGAATAATTATAACTCTCATGAAATGTGATGTAAGTGTCCCCCACAAAGGGTCAAAATTTTGAAAATCCGTGAACTCATAAAACACGATCTTAACATACGATTCCATTCAGACATCTCAATATGTCTATCAACACAAGATATGTTATAAAGATGGTAGATATCGGAACATTCCTTCTGGTATCTCCCCCACAAAGGGTTGAAATTTTGAATAAACAAAATGATCATAAAATCCGTAATAAGCATCTGGTTCTCTTCAAATTACCCACATCACAATATTTTTATTAACCCAAGGTCTGGTGTAAAGATGGAATATATCGGATCACTCCTTCTGGTACCTCCCCCACAAAGGGTCAAAATGTTGAGAATCCATGAAGCTCATAAAACGCGAAATTAACATCCGATTCCATTCAGTCTTGGTACATCTCAATATTAGTTAAGATGGTACAGATCGGGCTATTTTTTCTGGTACCTCCCCCACATAGCGTTCAAGTTTTTTAAAAACAAAACGCTGAAAAAAGCGACATTAACATCCCACTCTCTCTAAATTTCACACATCCAAAAATGTTTGCTAAAGCAAGATCTGTTGTGAAGGTGATATATATCTGCCAACCCCTTCTGGTACCTCACGCACAAAGGGTCACAACTTCCAATACTTATATCTGTCATAGCTTGCGAAAGAAATCGGTGATTCTTTACATTGCTATATATAAATACTTCTATCAACCAGAAACCTGAGATGAATATGGAATTCATGATTTCGCATAAAATTGGAAATAAATGTTAGATTTTCTTGTAATTTTACCCATACTAATATTTTTATCTCACGCAAATTTTAACATTATCTAAAAATTATCACATATTTCATCTAAAGTGAAGCAAGTAACCAATACAGTCCAAACCTGGCACGTCGCCAAATTTATTTAGTTCCGATACGAAATGGACAATATTGGTCCATTTCTTCGGAACCTAATCCATAGAAGGTCAACAATTTAAATAATCATAACAGAAGTCAAAATATAATTGAACATTGGCAGAGGGTCGGAAAAAACCGACTGACACTTTTTAACTTGTTTGTTGAAGAAATAAACTAAGCTTATGTTGAAAATTATACGTTGGTACAAGGTACTAATTCCCAAATATTGAATAGGAAAAAAATGGCGTCATCTCTTGAGCAAATATTAAAAGGTACATTAAGATTGGCATACTTGTAGGAAGCTATTAAAATTTTTGGATTGGGTTCACTACTGGAGGAAAGAAGAAACACGTAGTAAGGATATGGAATTTTTTTTTTTTTTTTTTTTTTGAAAAGCACCATATATGAGGAGTTATAAAAATATAAATTAATTGTTTGCTGATTACACAAAATCAATGGACCGAAAAATTGATTTTTTATTATGGGATACATTTCAAAACTATGCTACGTGTATCGGTCGATTTTTAAAATCCACCTCTCCATTTTAAAATACTAAAAAATGTCTTCAGTTTTTTATTCACATTGTTTGTTTTGTCTTGAGTTATAAATTGTTATTTTTGTTATTGTTGAAATTAAAATTTACTTTAATTCTTTGTTGGGTTCATGGTTATTTGTTTATTTTTATTAATTTCTAAAAATAGAAACTCACCACTCAGCTATTGGCTTTTTTATTATTTTATTTCTTTTTTCATTGTTTGATTTTTTTTCACCCCTTAACCAGTATTCTCTATGCCTTTAAACCAGATTTTTGTTCCTGTATTTTCCATTTCGTACCTTGACACACTGCACCATACTCACTATAACAACACCATCTATCGTTCATTGTTCACCAACGAGTGTCCTTCTAATGTCACACTGTATATTGTTTAAAAATATCGAATACCTTGACAATAGTATCTGTCAGCTGTATCTGGTTTTTTGCGTTTATCTGGCAATGGCTGGAGGAAAAAATTGAATTTTTTGGGTTGGGATTTCTTAAAGGATGTTGCAAATAAAAAAAAAACGGAATGGAATGGCTTCATTAAATCATTTTACAGACAAAACATGTGTTGAAAATTATCCTCTGGGAAAGCATAACTGATATACTAAATGAAGAAGTGCAATTTTAAAGGATATTTTCAAAAAGGGGAAATAATTCCAATGATATTACAGAGGCAGAAGCAGAAAATTACCATTTCTGTATTTTTTTTTAATATTTTTCCTAAAGGATAATAAAATATTGTGGACTTTTCTCAGACCTTTGTTGCGCAATCTGCATAAGGATATTTTGAAATACGCTTAAGAAAGAAA